TCCTTATATGCCATGTCTTATTTACAAATGATATAAAACGCCGAGCGATGATCACAGATTATTGGCATCTATATCAACAAGAGATCTTAAAAAAGGACTCACTTTTCAATACTGGGTTGTACTGAAACGTTAAAAATAATTTAAAAACGTCAGTATTCTACGCAACGAGTTGTTTGGCGGCGATGGTCTGCCGCGCGTACTCGGTGCCGACGAGACCGCGGCACACCAGGGAGAACTCCTGCGCCGCTTCGAAAACTAACCGTCTGTTATTCTTCTCTCTAAAATAATTTACAATAATTTGTGAGAAAATGATCAGTTTATACAAGTTAGTAACAATCTGCGAAATCTCTGGTTTGGTTTAAATTACATAGAAATAAAATAGTGTTACAAAAATTGTACCAAACAAAAAAAATTGCTTCTTTACATTTCAAGATAATTGCAATAAAATATATTTACTTGAGTACTGCGGTGATGAACTTCTGTTTGTGTGGGCGCGTGGCGTGCTGCGAGGGAAAACCGTCGACATCGAGCGCGGCGTGCAACCAGGCGCGCAGACCCGCCCCCTGACCCGCCTCTTGCCCCACACCCGCCCCCGTCGGCCACTCGGCGCGGTTCAGTGCCAGCAGCAGCTCAGATAGCGCAGACACCTGCGCGCGTGGTGAAGCACCACCTGACAAATAAACAAACCACAATATAATAGAGGCTAATAGTGAATATAACCAAGTTCTAGGCACCTAATCCCCTTAGACTAAAAATGTATAAATAAAGACTAAAATTGTTTAACAAGAAACAGTTTAGCGGGTAGTTACCGATGCAGCAGATAGCGGCGGCGGTGAGTGAGGGCGCGTGAGGCAGCAGGGAAGCGGGCCGGCGCGCCGCCAGCGCTATCAGCCATATACACGCACCGCGCGCCGTCGTTGCGTCCCACACCGTCACACAACGACATGCTGCAAACAAACAACAGAAACCATTAAAACAACTAAAAAAAGTTTTAAAATAAAACATATATAGGTATCCTGTCGACACTGACCGAGTTCGACGAGTTGTGATAGCAAGTCCTCGATCCAATGCAGGCACTCTGGCATTTTCTTGGTGAGAGTGGCGAGCGTGAGGAAGAGCTGGCAGGTGAGCTCGGGGTCGGCGCGCACGTCCGCCGCCGCGCGCGCCGCGCTCGCTGACACGCACTCACGCAGCACGCGTCCCGCCTCCGGCCACGTCTCGTACGATATTAACATTATCTAAACATACACAACATTAATCATTTTCCAACAACTCCTTATTATCCATTTTACTAATATTTATTGCCGTCGTAGTTGCCCACGGTAAAAAAAATCGGTCGCATATTCCTTTACCAGTACACATGCTGTGAAATTCACTAACCAAGTTAAGTACGACCAATCCGACCATACAGGGCTGCGTGTGGAAGCCGGCCACCGCGAGCTCGGCGATCTGTGGCATGTGCGGTAGACATGCGTCCAGTAGCGACGACAGCGCCTGGTCCAGCACTTTGTACATCGCCTGTGAATCGTTTATTATTGTATTAATAGAAATCTGTGGCGTATCACTTCGTTCTTGTGTCTATGAGTGACGTGTTTAATGTGTCCGTATGATTATGAACCTCGAGGAGATCTGCGTGATGCGCGAAGTGCGCGAGCGCGGGCAGCAGCGTCTGGAATAGATCGCCGGCGAGCGCGGGCGCGGCCACCAGTGCAGTCAGCAGCGCTGCGCTGCACTCCGCCGCGGTGCGCGCGCGCACGCCCTCTGCCGCCTGCACACGTACACCACATATGAAGCACCAAGCAAAAAAAATAAGTTAGAGATATATTGTAAATTCTTAGAAGGTTAAGGATGAAGTAGATAACAAAAAAGAAGAGGTGAAGAAAGTGAGAGAGGAATCTTAAAGTGAAACAAAACTTATATACACTTTTAAATTCAAGCCTATTCAAGCTATAATATAAATTCTATTAAATGTTGTCAATCGGTGCATTCACTTGTGCGCTGAGGTCGTCGAGCAAGGAGTGCGCCAACTTGTGCAGGAGAGGCGCGGCGATGTAGTGCGGGGCGGCAGCCAGCGCCGCGCCCGCAGCACCCGCCAGCTGCCGCCGCACGAAGCTGTCGCATCGTCCCATCCCACTCTGCGTTCAAACATTTAAATTCAGGGAAACTAACACAGATAACAACTATTCATTTGTTCGCTCTTCTACATTATGTTGTTTGTACCTGTGTTACGTTGACGATGTCCTCGGCCATGGTGGCGGCGAGCATGTCGCACTCTGTGCACAGCTTGCGCAGCGCGTGCGCAGCTCGCGCCGGCGATCGCTGTAATGCCGCGCCCGCCGCTAAAATGCTCTGCCGCGCCAGCTCCGTCTCCTCCACAGTGCTCATACTGCTCATCCACGTTGAGTAACCTCCTATTACAGATAGTCAACATTTACATTATTCGGAATTCTTGAAAAGGTGTAAGAAAATGGAAAATGTGCTGGACATAAGCGAGTTTAGGTAACAGTTCAAAAGCCACCACGTCATACTTGATCGGAAAAACTGACACCGACGTCGTTTAGTATATAAACATGTTGCAAATTGTAAAAAAGTAAGTTTAAAAAGTAAATTTGGTACTTCACCTAAGCAGTCGAGCGCCGTCTCCAATAGGTTCTTGTTGCTGGCGGTGGTGGCTGCGCGTACGGCGTGACGCAGTAGCGCGCCGATGGGGGGCGTCATCGCTTGCTTGGTGAGGCGGATCTCGCCCACCGCCAGGAACGCGAACAGCACCGCCTCCTGCCGCTCCTCGCTGCCGCCCACGGGGAACGCCTCCTCCAACACCTTCCACGTGTTGTCTTCTAAGACGCAGAAGCAGTATGTCTGTCGCAGATGAAGGTAAAAATCAGAAACTTTTTTAAGGGAACTTTTAGTTATAATGAACCAGTTTCTTGTTACTTTTATTAATTACGAAAAAAAATATAGAGAAAAGAAAAAGATACTTACAACAGTATCACTTATGTCTTGCCTGTAGCAGCGCAGCATTTCTTGGTCGTCCTGCGAGAGGGTGCTGTCGGCGGGCGCCTCGGCCTTCGCCACCAGCGCCAGCAGCAGCCGCGAGAACACGTCCAGCCACACCGGGTGCATCTTGTGCTTGCTATCCAGCGTGTTCGATACTTCGTCCTGCATTATACAACTAAACACTAGTTAACTATTTAGTTTATTAATGCTAAATAAATTTCTTCATACTAAGAGTGCAAAGATCATTAATTTAGCTTCATACAACCACACACCAAAAAAAAATCTCTTGAAAGGGAAAGTTTAGTGTTTGTAATGTGCACCTGCAGCGTGTACCAGAAGCTGAATACGAAGTGTGAGCGCGTCTCGTGCAGCGGGTAGTGTCCGGGCGCGGTCTGCGCCGCCAGCAGCAGCTCCAACGCCTGCTGCGGCTCGCGCTCCCCGGCCTCCACGCCGCGCACCACCTGCCGCGAGTGACAGTCCGCCACCGACACCAAGCACGTTATCACCGCTGATAGCAGCTCCTGACAATCCACAAGAAAAATTAAGTACTTCAATAATCTTACGATTCATCTAACTTTGACTTCCTACAAGTCCATTTATTGTCATTCTGACTACGACATAGATAAAAAAAAATTGTGTAAGCAAACCTCCTTGAATGAGGGATTCATTTGCAATTAAAACATATGTATTTGTGAGGTAGGTTACCTCATTGATAGAGTTAGGCACGTTGTCTCTAGCGAGCACTCGCTCGGCGAGCTGCAAGAGGTCAGCGAGCACCTGGTGCGCGGCGAGGGGGCGGCGCAGCGAGCCCGCGCCCCCGCCCGCCGCGCGCACCGCGTTCAGCGCCGCCTCGCACGCCTCCAGCGCGATGTCGCTCACAGCTTCATTACATCTGCAACAAAAAGTTAAACGGATTTTAAATACAAATAGCACTCTTGCAGGAAAATTAATATTTCCAATGTTCGATAATTAAGGTGATACAATGTGATATGATATTTAAATCCAGAGTTTTTTATGTTCATATGTGTAGGTCTAGTAATATATGGTTGCCATCGAGTGATAATTCTATATTCATACTTACGAGTACAGTACATGTACGACGGTAAGCAATGCCCTGCACAGTGGGGCGAAGTCCGGCACACTGGCATTATTGTAGTCCATGCAGTCTGCACAGGCCATTGTCAGCCAGCTGCCGGCGCACGCCGCCACATTCAACCAAGTTTTAACTGTCTCGTCACAGGGTGGACCCTTACTGTAATCACTGATACCACAAACTAAAATTACTCATTCATTTCTAATCATATTAACTATACCCCACTACTTCATACATGGTTTTTTAATTGCTCTCAAACCACAAACTTATAACCTATAGATATGTCAAGAACACAAAAGTGATTTGAAAAAAAACAGGCCTCTTGAAGAACTTTATACAAAAAAAAATTATAATTAGACTCTCAATTTGATATCAAACTTTTATAAAACACTCCATCTATAGGTTATATCTATGATTGAAATATTACATATTTGTGGAATAAAGTAGTATATAATACTCACTTATATACAGACTGCAGATAGCGAAGCATATCATCCAACACGGCCGGACAGGCATGAAGCAATGCATTTTGGTTTTTTGTTCTAAGTGCTGTACCCATTGTCATACTATTATACTGGAAAAAGAATTTATATGAAATTGTTATAACATAGAATATTAATAAATTTTACTCCATAAAGTTTGTAGGTCATTGCAATGTTAACATGGGTTAATGCATGGGCATGTAGTTTATTCATATGAACATTGGCAACAAAATTTTAAAAAGAATTTGTTCACTCACACATATATAGAATCGTTTTTTTTTTTTTAATAAAAAGGTTTACTATAAAAAGGTTTTACCTCTTCAGGTATCACAGTTAATACTTCAAGTAGTAAAGATGTATTTTCTACATTTGACAGAGGTCTTAGTGTTGATGCTAAATCTGTTGCTCCCAATTGTAATATAACTGCAGCTAACTGGAAAAAAAAGAAAAAAATTATGAAAACTACAATTCTATTATTTAAAATGTACATTGAACCAATTACATAGTAGAAACAAAAATATTTAAATAATTATAATCAGAATGTCTCATTATGATTATAGTTTAATAATTTATTTTTTAATATAAAATTTTACATTATATGTTTAGTCTAATTCAGTCTTAACAATTGATTAGTTGGATTTAAAAACAATTTGATTTTAAACATAACTCACACTAATACACAATCTGTTGGTTACAATCTTTGGACCTTGGGAATATGAAGTAACGGCTTGTAGTATCTTGTTCTTCAACTCTTCATAGCTTTCTGGTGGTACCTCATTCCAGCAGCGCAGGATTTTAGTGTGCAAAGTTGTTGCTGCATAAAACTGTATTTCTGTACCCTAAAACAACATTTTCACAATATGTACAATGATAAATAAAACATAAAACCTATGAAATATTTTGAATTTTGCCTCCTAATAAAAAAAATAGTTTTGGATATTATTGCTCAAACAGATTCCTATTGTTTCATATTGATTTTGGCTAGAGTATGATAGTAGCTTAGTGCAGGTTTTTTTATGGAATCTAAATTATATATCATCATACAAGAATAAACATAGTTGAAACACATGTACCTTATGAGGCTGTAGTAATTCCCAAACAAAGTTCCATGCTTCTGGAGCTCGCTGAGCTGTTGTAAGCCAGGTGTGTGCATTAGTTTTCTCGGTCTGTTCTCCATTATAAAACACATTGACCGCATATTCTAAATTTTGTGCCGTATACTCCATCATGAAGAATGAAAGGGGATTGCTCTGAAGCAAAATGATATTGATAACCTTTTTCTTTCTCTACCAATGTCTTATATCATCTATGTTTTGTTTCAGTATTGTCACATCTGTGGTATAATTAGATTTTATTACAAGTGTGAATTATGGAAGAATACTTCTTTCACATCGTATAATATCCACAAGTAATATACTATAGATTTATAGAGCCCTTTCAAATTGACAGTGACACATGTTGACACTAGATAAAGTGACAGTTTTAAACAAAGATTATTTAAAAATGGTTTTAAGTTTTAATTTCATCTGAATGTTGGGCCACCAATGTTTCGGAGTTTCGGATGAAAGTAGATTCCATGTAGCTGAAATGCGTATGTTAAGATGGATGTGTGGTGTGACAAGAAAGGATAAAGTTAAAAATGTGTATATTAGAGGAAGTTTGAAAGTAGCGCCAGTGATCGAGAATGTTGGATGGCTTGTAGCCAAAGGTAGAGGAAGACCAAAAAAGTATGGAATGACTGTGTGAAAGAGGTTATGCGTAGGAAGGGGGTAGATTCGGATATGACGGTTGGTAGAGATGTATGGAGGAGTAGTACATACTGTGCCGACCCTCAATAGGGATAAGGGCAGGTTGATGATGGCTTTAAATTTTAATTTTAATAAAAAAAAATACTAAAACCTAAGAGCAAACACAATCATTTTAAGGGCAATCTGTGTTTTGTATACCTTTTGCCTTGCATATGTCAATGTCATTGTCATTCAATTTTCCTCACCGTTTTTGACGTTTGTTTGGTGATCGGCTTTTGTGCAGGATTTCCGTTTAAATTTTTAAACATTATAATACAAGAATCATTTGCAAAATGAAAATCGAAGAAGTCAAGAGTACTGCTAAAACTCAAAGAATATCGGCCCATAGTCATATTAAAGGCTTAGGATTAGATGAAAATGGTGTACCTATTCAAATGGCAGCCGGTCTCGTGGGCCAAGAATCTGCTAGAGAGGTGATTTATACTGAAACATGATATTTTCTTTGCATTTTGTTACTAATTGTAACATTTTTGTGGTTAGCGTTATTGTGTTTTAGTGTTGTTAATTACATTTTGGTCATGTTAAATATTGATCAAATAGGTTAGTTTGTTTGGTTACCATGGAGCCCAAGGAAGATAACGCAGTTTACTTTTAGAATGTCTCAATATTATATTCCATCGAATAATATTTTGTACATAATATTGTAATCAATGAAAGTAATTTATTTCAACTTTTTAATTTAAATTTTTTTTTTTATTTTGCAGGCGGCCGGAATAGTAGTAGATATGATAAGAAGTAAGAAGATGGCTGGTCGGGCGTTGCTATTAGCTGGTCCTCCTGGGACTGGAAAAACAGCTATTGCATTAGCCATTGCCCAGGAATTAGGTAACAAAGTAAGTATTATACTTTCTAGAAGTGATTTTTTATAGTGTGATTGCAATAACGAAAATATACAGAGAATTTGAAATCCTAATTGTTCGGTTAACTACCTAATTAAAAACTTTGTATTAACTATTTACTTCATTTTCTTAGGTGCCTTTTTGCCCTATGGTAGGAAGTGAGGTGTACAGTACAGAGATAAAAAAAACTGAAGTTCTAATGGAGAACTTTCGCCGTGCCATTGGTCTCCGTATCCGTGAGACTAAGGAAGTGTTTGAGGGTGAAGTAACAGAGCTCACACCAGTGGAAACGGAAAATCCTGCTGGAGGTATGATCTGTTATATGTTATTAAACACTTAACACTTTCATCGCTGATTTTTAATACGCCTTCTAAATATCATTTTTAGGAAAAAGACAAATCAACTAAAGTGTTAGGAAAAGTTACATTTATGTTGACATAGCTTTATTTTTCTATGATACAAAAGTATATACTTTGTCTTGTTGTCTTTGTAATTTATTTTGTATTTATTTTAGGATATGGAAAAACAGTTTCACATGTCATTATTGGTTTGAAAACTGCAAAAGGTACAAAGCAATTGAAATTGGATCCCACCATATATGAGTCATTGCAGAAAGAAAAAGTGGAAGTAGGTGATGTGATCTATATTGAAGCTAACTCAGGTGCAGTGAAACGTCAAGGGAGAAGTGACACATTTGCTACAGAATTTGATCTAGAGGTATATGAAAAAAAATAATCTAAAATCGATCCAATGGTTTCTAAGTTTATTTCTTACATACAAAATACAAATATTAAATATAAGTATTTTTGCATAGTATTTATTTATAGCTAAAATATTTATAGCCAAATCAAAGGAGTAATCATTGGAATTAAACAAAATTGGCAAAAAAATTTAAGCTTTGATCATTACTACCTATAATTAAACTTTTTAACTCCAATAAGGGTAATTGTATGAAGATTGCGTCAAAGCTGTATATAATTACATGTTATTTAGGCAGAAGAGTATGTCCCATTGCCGAAAGGTGATGTTCATAAAAAGAAGGAGGTAGTACAGGATGTTACTCTGCATGACTTGGACTGTGCCAATGCAAGACCTCAGGGTGGACATGACATTATGTCAGTCATGGGTCAGCTGATGAAGCCAAAGAAAACAGAAATTACAGGTACGATATAAATATTTGATTTAGATTTTTAATTTTTTAGCAAGTTATATAAAGTCAAAACCTAATTGCCAAGATAAAAATTGTTTTTATACCTTAACTTATGCAATGCGTTTTTTTTTACAGATAAATTAAGAAAAGAAATCAATAAAATAGTCAATAAATATATAGACCAAGGTATAGCAGAGTTGGTTCCTGGAGTTCTCTTCATTGATGAGGTTTGTTTTTTGGTACAAAATTTTAATACAAATTCATAGTTTTTCGACTATTAATACTATTTCTCATTATTCAGGTTCACATGTTAGATATTGAAACATTCACATATCTGCACCGAGCTTTAGAGTCGGCTATCGCTCCAATTGTCATTTTTGCTACTAATAGGGGACGCTGTCAAATAAGGTAAGTGACAATGTGTCATACCTTGTTATATATGAAAATTTAGAATTTTGAAATGAGATATTTTATTCTTATTAAATTACTATTTGTCGCTGCCAACACGGTTGGCCTGATTAAAAAACGTTACCGATATCTAATATGCTGTTCTAGGCTATAAACTAACTTTATTCTAAATCGTTTTTGATTTACATGATAAACATTAATCAATAAAAACTTTGGCATTTATATTATTAGCAAGATTACTACTTGTCTGAAATTTACTATTTATCAGAAATATTGACTTGAAGATGTTATTTTTTTTAATAAATTTCAGAGGCACGGAGGACATAATATCTCCGCATGGGATACCACTTGATCTTTTGGACAGGCTGCTGATTATTAGAACTTTACCTTATAATAAATCTGAGCTTTTACAGGTTCGTATAGAAAAAAAATACTATAAAACAGGGTAAAGACTCATGAAATAAATATCAAGAAATTTTGATGTACCTATATATAATTTAGTGTAACAATGTTAACTTTTTTTTTCAAGATCCTAAAGTTACGTGCAACAACAGAAGGCATAGCAATAGAGGAAGATGCTTTAGCAGCTCTTGCGGAAATTGGCGCTAACAGTACTTTAAGGTAAATAACTTACTGCTAAGATAACCAGAATATAATGCCATAGCATTTGTTGGTATTTCTAGAACATTCGAACCATGTTATATAAAAAAACACAAGTGATTTAATCTTACTTTTTATCTTATTTTTGTTATAAATGTGAAAGTTTGTATGGATAAATGGTTGTTTGTTAGAAGATATCTTCAGAATGGATATCCAGATATCTCGCTGAAATTTGGTATAGATCTAGAATATAGCTGGGAATAACACATAGAATACTTTAATTTTTATTAAATTAGTTTTTTTTTAATTCGTCGCCAGCGTGTTAAAGAGTTGCGGGCGACAGCTAGTGATAACATAAATTGCCACTGCCATACTCGAGTCGTATCACTTCAATTACATTTTTAAAGTTGCTTAACAGCATATATTTTATTCCTTTAATTTAGCAGGTGGTAATGAAAAAGAAATGATTTATTAAAGCATAATAATTTGTCTTAGGTACGCGGCACAGCTGCTGACGCCGGCGTCGCTGACGGCGCGCGCTGACGGCGGACAGCGCATCTCTCCGCCGCACATCCAGGCAGTGCACACGCTCTTCCTTGACGCCAAGTCCTCAGCGCGCATCCTCACACAGCACTCCGATAAATATATGAAGTAGACATAGTGCAAGTATAGTTCGTTTCAAATATGAATGTGCACGAGACAGCGACATATGACGTCATACCTCTCAAATCGTTAAAAAATAATCTGTTGGAAGTTTTTTTTGTTAACATCTTTACTTTCCTGACATTTTTTGACAGATTGATTTAATATGTACATTCTTATTTGAGACGTATTTTTGCAGTTAGTGAATAATTCCAGTTTTATAAATGCACATTTGGTTGACATAATATTGCAAGTTAGTATATGGTGATAAATATTTTTGTACCTTCTAAAAATGTGACGTACAAAATATTTGTGTGAGCAATAATTTTGAATGAATGGATTTATTTTTAATTTCGTAACTAAAAATACTGTTACGGCGACCACTAGAGTACATACCTATTTTGTTAACATTGTGTCCATTACTTGGTTTAAAGTATAGTTGTCCTCCGTATCGTAAGCTTATTTTTGTTTTGTTAAAAAACAATAATTGAAGAACGAAGATTCCAACCTTAGTTCTGACTTTAAAGACTTTAATTTGTATTTTCCTAGGTTCCGTCTTGATTTATGTTCATCCTGTGATATCTTACTTAAGATAAACCATTTTGCTTAATTTTTGTTTTAAGAAAGCGAGGATGCTAGTTTATTTCAATGATTAGTTCTTAAGCCCGTGAGGATTATGTAAAAAACATATTAATAAATAAGTTTTTATTAAAATCGTGTTACTTATTCTCCTATACGTCATACTAAAGTTATGTACATATAACGAATTAAATATAAACATTTTAACAACAGGCTTTCGACATGTCATTTTTTTCAAGGCTTAAATTATTATTATTTAAAACTAAGGACGACGTTAAAGGGCAGCTCTTTGTACAGATCTGACGGATATTAACGTTTTTGAGTTATTTCTGTATTTCATGTCTCAAGTAGAAAGTTTTATCAATCACGTCGGGTTGAGCTCGGGTGAATCTTTAAGATCGGTTTTCTGTAAAAACGGCACTGGGATAAATCTCGCATCACCTTTCGATTGCACGGTGGAGCTCGGGTCCGGGCTCGAAGTGGGGGGATGGAATGTGGGCAAGTCCACTCTCACCTCCGGGTCGGCGGTGTGTCTGTATAACGCTTCGAATTGCATCTCCTCAGATACGGAATGTGATTTTATTTTCCTCTCTTCTCTTGCGTTGCTCGGGTAGACTATGAGGATCTTCTCCCCGGCGCTGTGTAAGGCGACCGGCGGCAGCGCGGTACTGGTGGTGACCACGGGCCCTGGAATCACTTGAAGCATCTCCGTGGGTGCGGGCCGCAGCTTCTCAGTTGTCGTTGTGCTCGGAGGGGTAGTGGTAGTCGTCGTGGTAGTCGTTGATATCACTACCGGAATATCGGGGTCCTCGGGCGTCTCGATCTCGCGCATTTCGCCTGGTGGCCCCATGTTCCTAAGGGATTCGATCTTCATTTCCAACGTCGGTGTCGGCACTGGCACGGAGCTCGTTACGTTTCCGTCCTCCGTCGGAATGTATTTGGCTGTAGGTTTCGGCAGCTCGCGTGCACCGAATATCGGCAACCGCGGTGCGTAAGCTGACACCAGCGGCAGCAAGGTGTCCCGCGCGTATCGCTCGGCCCTCGAAATAAATGAAGCGAGTCTCGATGGTAGGAATTGTACTGCAAAGCCCAATTCTTCTTTTTCAGTAGTTGCACTCAACGAAAATGTTTCGTAAGTAGGAGTCGTTACGTCATAGTTTTTAGGTTTTCGTGAAGAAGGTGGGGTTTGTCGCGGAGGTCGAGTCGGTCTTAAAAGGGGTTCGGATATTTCAGGACTTTCGTCAGCTATATCAATCCTCTGTCGCGGCGTCTTGCGAGGTCGCGGCCGCAGAACGGGCTCCGCAATTTCGACTATGCCATTGGGCGCTGTTTTCGTGTTGGTCATTCCGAAGGCGCGTCCAGTGTCGGTGGCGCTGTCCCACTCGTAGTTATCGACTAGAACGAAAGATGTTCTCGGTGGATCTTCAGGAAGTTCGTTATCGAGAACATCTATTGACGGTTCTTTGGTTTTGTCTTCTTTAACATTATCTTCTAAGCCTGTGGCGTTATCCGAATCATTGTCCTGAAATTTTTTTTAGTTGTTTTACAAAAGCATTTGGAAGCTTAGTAAAGGAATTATTTTTCTATTTCATTTATAATATTCACCTGTTGCATTGGACAATCACCGGGGTATAAGGGTAACCTAACTGATTCATCTGTCGTCAACTTCACATGTTTGCAGAAAGATGACCTGCGAATTAATTTAAAACAAATTAAACAGGAGTTGATAGTTAACGTATGATAAAGAGAATAAGAGGCTGTCGGCGTCACTTACGTCTTGCCGAAGCTGTCAGTGATGAGGAACTTGTGTAAGCGGACCGCGCGTGCGCCTGCTGTCAGCCAGCCCGAGTAGGCGGCGTAGTGCAACGTCACTCGTAGTGGCACACCCAGCGCGGGGTGAGGCACTAGCACGCGGGAGAAGTGCAAACGCCCCACCTGGTTGTTCTCGCGTCTGGGAAAGGAGAAAAGAACTTTTTAGAAAGCAAATACATAAATAAAAAATAAAATCTGAAGTTACTGAAGTGTTTTAGTCAAGTAAAAAATAGTTATGAGGAAACTTACTTATTCATAGGGAAAGATTCGTTGAGGCCAGAGTCACCGTGTAAAGTGAGGGTAATTTTGCCATAGGTCGTCTTTTCCCCGGGCTCACTAGCGCCCCATACTGACACATGGTACTGATGAGCTGGAAAAATGTTGAAGTAATTTTATAGTTAAAGTGGGGTTTCTAAGTTAGGTTCAAAAGTAAAATAAGTCCAAAAATACGGTATGAAGGTCAACGACGTTACTATTCGACGGTTACGAATAAATGCTCTTATAAAGGAGTGATTACAGAGTTTCATCCAAATTTATTCATACCACAGAAGGGTTCTTCCTCTCGTGTGACCAAGTACAGAGGACCGCGGCCCAGCGAGCGGTCCGCGTAGTAGCCCATGTTGCCACACCGCCGCTCCTCGCTGCACGGGAAACATCGACCCTAAATACAAAAGATACATATAATGTCATTTGAACAATTACTTATACAACGGTGTTCTATCGGTTAAACCGCTTTGTCCGAAAATTGGTGGAGAGGTAGATACTGAGTAATAATTAAGTTTCTAACGTACCTCCAGAAAAGTGTCGTAGTCTAAGCAGGGGAAAGCGGGAAAGTGGCACTTGGGTGATACAGAGTCGGTGAAGAACTTGTAGGCGCGGCGGTGGTTGCACAGCGAGCGGCCCTCTGCAGACGCGGCCGCCCACGGCAGCACCAAGTCCGATACTGCGCCCACGAACCTATTTATTTTATTTACTTTAAACAAAATACAAATTATACAATAATAACAAATATACCTATAAACTCATAATTAATTGGTAATTATTTCATACCGCTTTATCTACGCCTACTGTAGTGTCTGTACACCTACCATGTCTCTTTCCTAGAAGAGGCCTGGCATCGCATTAACATTTTAATTTCTTACAAATTAGAGCATCCATGCTGCACTCGTCCGCCGTTGGGGTAAAAGTCGACGTGTCCTAGCGGCTGTGCGGCACCCAGTCCGCCTAGGATCAGCGTCTCCCCGTTGGAGTGGATTACGTCTACGAACTTGGCGTCCGTGCGGTCGAGACGTACCCGAGGGTCTTGGAAATCGAACAGTGGCCCGGCGGGATCGAGACCTATAGATATATTAACTCAGTATAATGGTTTTCTTTATCAGTCGCGAAGGTAGTTAAGTAGAGTCAAAATCTCATCGTACCTGTTATTCGACTTATGTTTCTCAGTTCGGAGCCAGCAAAGCCAGCTACATGAGCTCCCAAACTAAACCCAATTAAGTGGACGTCTTCAAACTTCAAATCTATGTGTTCAGCTAATCCTGTAACATTCGTATTGGTAAAAGTTTTAAATTAACATCGATTTACAAATTTAAATAAATGTACTATAGATAACAAACTGGTCGGTTAACACATGGTGCATGTTTGTATTATAGAATCATTGCCCAAATTAGATCGCAAATCAATATTATGGTCTACTTAGTTTACCTTGCAGCATCATGGCGAGCTGCTTGCCAACGAGCCGGGTGTTGGCGGCGGCGCGCAGGTAGTTAGGCATCGAAGCGCCGCCCTCCCAGTCCACGCAAACCACGTTACATTCTTCCTGTTATATACACTTATGTTAAATGTATTAATAGAAGCTGTTCACTGCTTTTATGAAATCTTAAACGAACAGTGTATAGCTTCGTATTTTTTATTTATTACAAAAAAATACTGACGTAATTTACGTCGAGCGATGACGTAATTTTGTAGCAGACTGACATATTTTACAGTGATCTCATGTGTCTTTTAAAAGATTCAACAGTACTCACGACGGCCATCAATGCGGATCTCATTTCGTATACCCAGACGTTGTCGCAGTTGGAGCCGAAGCCGTGTACAATTATGCGAGTCGGCTTGGAAGAGTCGAAGGCTCGTTCTGCCCAGCTCCATGCGGCTGACATGTTGGCCGCCGATACTGACATGAGAGGCTGATCACCTCTAAAACATTGGTAAAACTTGGATCAAGTATTGTACGATAGATCGCAGGTTATTACGAAAGGGCAATAAGGGACAATACAGCAGAGTACTGAAATAATTATTTCATAGATGTTTATGTTTATTAGTCTGTTTATGTCGAATTTCACTTTCTGTTCCAACTACCTACTCTTGCTGGAAAGGCACGTGTTGTGGAACTTAATCTGCGTCACCGTTTTAAAATAAAAAAAATATTGAGCACATCTACCCTGTCGGAATTAGAAGAGTTTTGCTGATCAATATTTGAACTCAAACGAACCTGTTCATAGTAGAATACATGAGGAAGTTAGTGCCGACCTCCTGCGGCGGACTGGGCAGCGTCTCCAGGTACGCGAAGGGCCCCGAGTCTTCGAAGCATCCGAACTGTCCGTAACAGACGCTGCCCTGCGACCTCTTCGTCCTAGGAAAAGTATAACAATACTGACAATATCCTAAATCACACAAATTAATATGCATTACATAAAAAAGCA